AAACCAGCGGCCTGAAAGCACAACTGTGATTAGACACGGTAGGTAAAAGAAAGGACACACTTTATTAACTGCATTACTTATGCGGTTGGTATTTCAAGTTTCCTACAATTACTGATACAATCACACTGAAAGTCCCGTACTGTAACATCGCACCCGTTTGCACCTACAGTGGAAGGTATTTTTGATGCTTTGCGATGAGAGCGATTGACATTTATAAAAAAATTACCAGTGCAGAACTTGACCTGGGGAGCGAACTCGTTCATGTCTATTATGCTGGTGACAGCATTCTTTTCTCTGCACAAAATGAGTGCTCTTGACCATGGCAAATAAGGAGTGCGTTTCGCCTGTATGCCATGGCAAATGTGCCATTCCTCCTCTCCATCAATCATGGCCACAATTTTTACTGTCTGTTGATGCTTTTGCGTAGCCAGAAAAAATAACCTGAGTATCTCCAGAAAGTTCTTGCGTCTCAATAAGTAGCAAAACAATGATACCGACCCTGTATGCAAAATATTTAGGAAATAGTTTGTTGCCTTGCTGTAGGATTTTTCATTGGGCAGTCTCAGCTTGGCCGTTGCCTTTCTTTTTTTCAAAAACAAAACCAACCACTTCACTTACGCTGCTTCCTGTGGCAATGTGGAACATATTATGGCTTTCAAAAAAAAAAAAAAAAGAAACTAAACATTACTACAGTTAAAATTCCATCTAATGAAACCTAATTTCATGAAGTTTTGACCTAAGAAATTTCCATTTTCCAGCACATACCCATAGGTTCAATGTCGCCCTCAACCAGATTTAGCAAATTACTTTGGTGATTAACGATAAATGCACTTTAGCCAACTGTTTTCTGAATTAACTAAATGAAAGTGCTGCAATTAAGTGAGTGAGAAAGTGCCATCATGCTAAAACATTTACATGCCCTTGTAATTGCACTAGCTTTACATTGATAAGGCTGTGTATCGCATCTACGTACGAGACAAAGGATGTGATGGTAGGTAGCGCTTTTGCATACCGCACGATGCTAGAGGCGCAGTAAGTTCTTTTCGTTATTCCATAGTTTGTGCAAATGACAGCACTGATCACCATGTATCTTTCTCGCTCAGCCAGCACCCAGAATCACTGCATTCGTTTTGTGTGTTAAGACATAGCGGTACACTGCCATACCTTCATGTGACCACCCACATGGCCTGCATCGCCAGGACATAGTCCCTATGTCAAGGTCGTTCATAAAGGCTTTTATGATGGCGAGGCACGGGTTGCCATTAAAGAAGATGCCGTGGTAGCTTTCTGGTGTGGCTACATTGCAACTACAGGTTTCGAAAGACCTAAAAATCACTTTTTCAATTTGACGAAGTCATTTCAGTGCAGTCATCGCTTTGTTAAACTGAGTTTCGAGAGTATATTGTGCTTGCTGTGAATGCGGACATGCATCATTGGCAGGTCCGCATTAGTGAAGCGATTCTCAGATGAGCTTAGCAGTGATTCTAGCTGTTTGCTCATTCACTGCTGCATCCGTAAGTATATAAAGACTGATCTTTCATAACACTACTTCACAACCTTACGAGCCGTAGGTGCATGTTGGTTGCACCTGCGAAACCTAAACCGATAAAGCCCGCGAGCGGATTTCTCGGCGTAGGAACTCATGTGCAATAGCTTCGCCCCTTTGGCTGTGCAGCAGTGCTGCCACAGAAAGCTGATGACAGTTTTGATTGATACAGACAAGCCATTTAACTGCTTGCCTTGGAGTAGCGATTCGCGGCAAGTCTCGCAGAAGTTCGTTCCAGTGAGGCCCACGAGAAGGGCTGGAAAAGATTCACGCGGAAGTTGCGCGGCATTTCGACGCTTTCCGCGGTCGAGCACAGCGCTCAAGGTCGACAGGTTGGCGTCGGACCCCAATCGGCCGCAGACGTGGCAGCCGTGGCCACTGTCACTGCTCAGCGATTTGCGCCGACCGTTCGCTTCACACCTCCTGACCTGACGCAGGTAACTCTCCACGACTCGCAGACCGGGGTCGTTCAGCCGACGTTCGCGCTTGGCTCGCGCTTCCCGAGCCCGGTACTCGGAGCGTTCCGCTCGAAGGCGTCTCATATAGGCAGCCTGCTTGGCGCGGTACTCCGGGTCTTCGCTTGCTTGCCGACGTTTTCGCTCCCTGTTGGCAGCGTTACGTCTCTCGCGCCGTTCCTCGTCTGACAAGTTGAGCCTCGGTCTAGCCATGTCCGGGCAGGGCCGGAGAAGAATCTCTGCGGACTTCAGTTGCTTTAGTTTAGCAGGACTACGGCGGTCTCAGAATACCGATGTATCAGTGCCCCTGAAATTTATAAATTGAAACTTCTATGAAACTATGCCAGAGACTTTCTACGAACTAGAGTATACTAGACTATACGAACCGAAACAACCATAATGACGATGATGACGATGAAATTGTTGCCCTGCCCTTTGTAATGGGTGATCAAACGGGAAATCCGGATCTGGCACAATAAGTCTCTATTTATTGGTTTGGTGTATCTGCTGCCGGACCTGTTGCAGATAGTATAGCGTACTTTAACAGAGTACACTATACAAATAGACAAGTCCGGCAAGCGCCACCGCAGTGTTGCCAGGTCAGTCGAAGTCATCAATGGCGTCGCCAGTTGACATAAGAGCAACTACTACAAATGGTAGTGTATAGGTGTTCTGTGCTACTATTGTTAGCTAAGCATGGAGAAAGTAATGCAGCTAAGCCATGGGGAAAGCTTTCCTTCCTCCACGCTGTAGCCCAAAACCTCAGGGTTTTATACAATTGTATGAAACTCTATGCCCAAACGCAAACGTAGCCAAAGAAAAAAATAATAAGAATAATAAATAAGGAATTTTTGCACTAGCGTTGCCCAGCCTGAATAAAGTGCGGAGCTGGACGGCCTATATGTTTATCTTTTCCTTTTTAATCTGTTGCTTTCTGTCTATATTTTTTGCAACTTCCGATTTATTCATTGACGATTGGCCATCTGATGACGATCACGAAATTATCCATCGATGATCTCCTCGTAATTCTTGATCTTTCTACGTTATCTCACTCGCTTCCTCTATTTTCTTCCAAAACTAAATTTCTGTCTCTCACCTCCTGGCACATTTCATACCACCCTCAATTCTCAGGTCGTCGTTCGACGGTGCTTGGCTGCTGTCCCGAAAGTGGTGGGTTCCATCCCGGCCACGGCGGTCGCATTTGGTTGAAGGCAAAAATAGTGGGGGCCCATGCTCTGAGCGATGTTAGAGCACATTAACTTATCTACGTTATCTCACTCGCTTCCTCTATTTTTTTTTTAATTTCTATTTCTGTTTTTCGTTTTCTATATTTCGTTCTACTATCTCACCTCCTGACACACATTTCATACCACCCTCAATTCTCAGGTCGTCGATCGACCGTGCTTGGCTGCTGTCCCGAAAGTCGTGGGTTCCATCCGGGCCTCGGCGGTCGCATTTGGTTGAAGGCAAAAATAGTGGGGGCCCGTGCTTTGAGCGATGTTAGAGCACATTAACTTATCTACGTTATCTCACTCGCTTCCTCTATTTTTTTCTAAATTTCTATTTGTTTTTCGTTTTCTATATTTCGTTCTACTATCTCACCTCCTGACACACATTTCATACCACCCTCAATTCTCAGGTCGTCGATCGACCGTGCTTGGCTGCTGTCCCGAAAGTGGTGGGTTCCATCCCGGCCACGGCGGTCGCATTTGGTTGAAGGCAAAAATAGTGGGGGCCCGTGCTCTGAGCGATGTTAGAGCACATTATCTTATCTACGTTATCTCACTCGCTTCCTCTATTTTTTTTCTAAATTTCTATTTGTTTTTCGTTTTCTATATTTTGTTCTACTATCTCACCTCCTGACACTCACATATCATACCACCCTCAATTTTCAGGTCGTCGATCGACCGTGCTTGGCTGCTGTCCCGAAAGTGGTGGGTTCCATCCCGGCCACGGCGGTCGCATTTGGTTGAAGGCAAAAATAGTGGGGGCCCGTGCTCTGAGCGATGTTAGAGCACATCAACTTATCTACGTTATCTCACTCGCTTCCTCTATTTTTTTCTAAATTTCTATTTCTGTTTTCTATATTTCGTTCTACTATCTCACCTCCTGACACACATTTCATACCACCCTCAATTCTCAGGTCGTCGATCGACCGTGCTTGGCTGCTGTCCCGAAAGTCGTGGGTTCCATCCCGGCCTCGGCGGTCGCATTTGGTTGAAGGCAAAAATAGTGGGGGCCCGTGCTCTGAGCGATGTTAGAGCACATTATCTTATCTACGTTATCTCACTCGCTTCCTCTATTTTTTTCTAAATTTCTATTGTTTTCGTTTTCTATATTTTGTTCTACTATCTCACCTCCTGACACTCACATATCATACCACCCTCAATTTTCAGGTGGTCGATCGACCGTGCTTGGCGGCTGTCCCGAAAGTGGTGGGTTCCATCCCGGCCACGGCGGTCGCATTTGGTTGAAGGCAAAAATAGTGGGGGCCCGTGCTTTGAGCGATGTTAGAGCACATTAACTTATCTACGTTATCTCACTCGCTTCCTCTATATTAACTTATCTACGTTATCTCACTCGCTTCCTCTATTTTTTTCTAAATTTCTATGTGTTTTTCGTTTTCTATATTTCGTTCTACTATCTCACCTCCTGACACACATTTCATACCACCCTCAATTCTCAGGTCGTCGATCGACCGTGCTTGGCTGCTGTCCCGAAAGTCGTGGGTTCCATCCCGGCCTCGGCGGTCGCATTTGGTTGAAGGCAAAAATAGTGGGGGCCCGTGCTCTGAGCGATGTTAGAGCACATTAACTTATCTACGTTATCTCACTCGCTTCCTCTATTTTTTTCTAAATTTCTATTTCTGTTTTCTATATTTCGTTCTACTATCTCACCTCCTGACACACATTTCATACCACCCTCAATTCTCAGGTCGTCGATCGACCGTGCTTGGCTGCTGTCCAGAAAGTCGTGGGTTCCATCCCGGCCTCGGCGGTCGCATTTGGTTGAAGGCAAAAATAGTGGGGGCCCGTGCTCTGAGCGATGTTAGAGCACATTATCTTATCTACGTTATCTCACTCGTTTCCTCTATTTTTTTTCTAAATTTCTATTTCTGTTTTTCGTTTTCTATATTTCGTTCTACTATCTCACCTCCTGACACATTTCATACCACCCTCCATTCTCAGGTCGTCGATCGACGGTGCTTGGCTGCTGTCCAGAAAGTGGAGGGTTCCATCCCAGCCACGGCGGTTGCATTTGGTTGAAGGCAAAAATAATGGGGGCCCGTGCTCTGTGCGATGTTAGAGCACATTCCGATGCTGTCGAGATTTCGGGGTGGGGGAGGGGGGTCTCGCCCCTGTGCAGCTCCTCCTATTCTGCTTTGTACAATGCATGACTGGTAATTTTTTTTCATACACTCGTATCATGCCATACCGATTCTCACATACTATATCAAGTTAATTAAATGGCCACAAGCGTACCAAGATCGTGTCCTGTTAATGATGCACATGACATGCATGTGTCATTATTTTCATGTTGCGACCTGTCATTTATGTTCGTTGCACAATCACACAGATCTAAGCAACAATCTACCAGCATTAATCAATCCAGCCACTGAACTGTATTTTGGCATCTCTGGATGGGAACTGAGTTCATTAAGACACAACCACTTCCGTTTCACTTGTAAAGCAAGGACATGCCATTTATTCGAAGAATAAATCTCGTGAAAACATCAGTTTTTATGTTCTATGTGTCTTTTCACATGTGGACAATGAACAAACACACTTACTCTGGTCACGCAGCTCATGCTCAACACAGACTTCAAACAGAAGAAACGATACTGTACACATGTAAACTGGCAATCTTTCTTTGAAGGATTTGCTTAAGATATGTTAATATGTTACAAGCACGGAGATGACTTTATTGGTTTGAGGTATCCACTGAAAACTTGTAGCCATCCGTTGTTAAACGACGTTCAAGTGTAAAATGCACACACATGCGAGAACAAAGTGCAGCTGGATGGGCATACTTTTGTAAGCAAGAATATATATTGCTCTATGCTCAAACCTCAATATAACAAACCCAGATATAATGAAACACTGGATATAATGAAATAAATGAAAAATAGTCTTGCAATAGATAAAGTGGTAGCAATAAACTTTTATAACAAACTTTGGATATAATGAACCTAATTCAGCATAACATACAACTTTGTTATGAGGTTTGAGTGTATATGCATTTTATTCAGTTTTTTTTTACAAGTGTTCATTCATAGAAAATCAATCACTGTTGAACCACTGATTGATCAATCACTGGAAAATCAATCACTGTTGAACAAAACTTGATCTCTATGCTTGAATTTTCCAAGAGCAGAGATACACATGATCATACTCTATTGGAAAGAATGCACAAGCTAGATGGCAATTAAATAGAAGTGCAAAGTAATTTAGTGTCGTAACTTTTATCACTATTCCTGTCATCACTGCTCACTGACCACAGGCCCACAGCAACGTGTTCACGAATCCAAGTGTGGCAATATCGGGGAACATAAGTCGAGGTTTGATAACATGAAAACATGGAATGCAGTAACCGTTGCACAGTAAACTCATTTGTAATAAAATAAAATAAGCATGTCAAGACAACCTTGATAATTTGCAGAAAAGAACAGATAATTTGCAGAAAAGAACAGATAATTTGCAGAAAAGAACAGAAAAGTGACTTGTGGCAGGAGGAAAGAAAATTTGGATGGGATTGAAAATTTCGGCTACAGGACACGCCACGTTTCGCCAGACAATCTTAGTTTAAAAGGTTGATCGTGATATCTGCCGCAAACAAGACAATTGGTGTCGCAATCTTCCCACTGCAGATTTCCCTCTTGTGCTAATTTTTTTTCTGCAGTAACTGCACCCGTTAAAAGCAAGTGTTATGTACATTTCCTTATCAAGTATTTACACTTTTCAGTATCACATTCTCTCACAATTTGACCTGCACAGAATTCATAGGTTTAATAAATGTGAAAATACATAACTGCTCCGATGAAGTTATGAAGGACTCTCAAAACCTTAAGTACGCATGGTACCACAAGCCGGGAAGGCACATGTTTCTTGCTTTCTGTGAAATCATTTGACCACTGGCATAGCCAGGGAGGGAGGAGTGAAGCAAAATTATGTATAATCATAGACCATGACACCTTTTGTTTCATCCAGTCTTTTAGCGCTGTTTTCAACTCAGAATTATGCACCAATGCACCCAAATGAACGCCTTTACATGGTTCATGGATTCTCCATGTTAACACATTCAACTTTGGCTATAATAAACGTGCTTGGAGGAGTCTCTGTAAGGCCACGCATTTATATCAGACATTTCTTCCTGCACATAAGCACGGACAACACTGAATATAAGTACTCGTAGGAGACTGCACCAAATTCGTTTTAAAGGAGTGCTAAAATAGTTTTAGAAATTTTGACAGAATTTAGGCTACAGCATCATCGAATACTTTGTAGTGCAAAAAGGCAGCTACAGGCAATTATGTGACTACCCTCTTTCTCGCCTCTTTAACCAATTGAAATGCCTAGCTGCCACTAGCGAAGGCAGCACACATGGAGTGTTAAGCTGCGCCATCTTCCCTGTGGCCTCCGCAAATAACACCGGCAGTGCACCCAGCACACTGTCGAGCAACGAAAGACGAAGTTTATGGATTGGTCAAGATCTCCTTCACCAGGAGCCACTACACTACCAGCCTTTCTTATTTCATTTTCCTGTGTGCCGACGATCTGCAAAGTCAATGAAGTATGCGGACAACGTATGTGGGAGAGATCACTTATTAGCGCAAACTCAGCAATGTAACAGTGTCTTCAGGGGCGAAGTTATGGCCGCAGACATGGGGATCCTGCCGTTCATTGGGCAGCAAGAACCTGACGCTCATTGCACCGCCGAGTCGAAGAGGCAACACCTGCCAGCTGCCTTACAAGATTTCGCAGCTTGAAAGGTCATCGATTACAGGATTTGTGACACGCAACGCAGCTAGGGCAATGCACAGTGCCCCAGAAAAAAAAAACCTCGACATAAACATTGCTGTACAGCTCCCGTTAACACAGAGCACGCTGTAACACACACACAATGTGCATCTGCTCCGGAGGGGCAGAGACATGGACTGAGCATATCCAATCAGATTGGTCGCCGGCGCAACATATTATAGAGTGATGCTATGTTGGATCGACACAGGAAGTTGAAAATTCATTCAGCTAAGCTGCGTCGATCTGCAGCGATTTGCACCTTTCAAGTCTTGTATTAAATAAAACGAGTAATGTGGAGCGCTTAAATTGGTCTGCATGTGATTCTCCGTACTTCCTTTACAAAGTCAATGCATTGATACAAGATAGTTAACACAGCCATTTCAATAAAGGTCAAGTGCTAGAGACCCATGTACTCAATGTGAGTGCAAAGAATAGAACACCACATGGTAAAAATTGTTAGAGCCTTCCACTGCGGCAGGCATCATAATTTATTTTTATTATGAATATTGATATTGTCACGTTACAACGTAACTGTAACCTGCTGATAATGGCACATAAGGACGTCAAACTGATTCGAACAACGGCAGTACGACTATTGTTTTTCTCTGCACGCGCATCTTTGTCCTCTTCTGAACAGCGGCACATACAAGCATGCTAGCATCTGTGGAAATAATAGTTTCAGAACTTGTACTAGTGGCATTACCCCCTTCCCAAAGGACATCGTCCCGATGTCATAACATTATTGCCAGATGAAAACACGCACGATAAGCAGTACACAAGGGGGTGTTCACAATCACTGTAAGTCTACTCAAGGGAGTGTGACGAATAGTCAGCGTTGGTAAAATGGTTTCATCCTCGAAACATGGACGACGTGTGGCTGTTGTGAACGGCGGGATTGACGAGCCATGTCGTCGTCAAGAACCTGGTAGTTCACTTCGCTGAGACGACGGAGAACTCTATAGGGACCAAAATAGCGGCGTAACAACTTTTCCGACCGGCCCCGTTGTCGAATGGTAGTCCACAACCATACTCGTTCTCCGGGTTGGTAAGAGACATCGCGACGACGAGCGTTGTACCGCAGAGAGTCGATGCATTGTTGCTTATGGATTCGTTCGACTGCAAGCTTACGAGCCGCGTCTGCCAGTCTGATAAATTCGTTCGTCTTGACACTAATCTGGTGTCTGTCTGGTAGAAGCATGGCATCCAGCATTGTAGTGACCTCCCTGCCATGAAGCAACCGGAACGGTGTGAATCCAGTTGTTTCTTGCACAGCGGTGTTGCAAGCGAACGTGACATAAGGGAGGATGTCATCCCAGTTTTTGTGGTCTTGGTCAACGTACATGGATAGCATGTCGGCGATCGTCTTGTTTAGTCGCTCTGTAAGGCCGTTGCTTTGTGGGTGGTATGCAGTAGTTTTTCGATGTACTGTGCTGCTAAGCTGCATGACGTCTTGTATCATCCGGGCGGTAAAAGCTGTGCCACGATCAGTTATGACAACTGCTGGTGCTCCATGTCGGAGGACGATGTTTTTCATTAAAAAATGGGCAGTCTCAATGGCGGTGCCACGCTGTAATGCCTTCGTTTCGCAGTAGCGCGTCATGTAATCAGTAGCGACTACAATCCAGCGGTTGCCGTCACGAGACTTGGGAAAAGGTCCGAGTAGATCCATGCCTATTTGTTGGAACGGTTGTGTCGGAGGAGCGATGGGCTTCAAAAAGCCGGCTGGGCGCTGATGTGGTGCTTTACGGCGCTGGCACTCGTGACACGTCTTCACGTAATGCTTCACGTCTCGACTGAGCTTAGGCCAGTAGTAGTGTTGGCGAATCCGGGCCAAGGTACGTGTGTATCCCAAGTGGCCTGAGGAAGGCTCATCGTGACAGGCGGACAAGACATCGGCTCGTAACGCTGGCGGGACAACGAGCAGGTACTCAGTCGCGTAAGGGTTGAAGTTTCTTTTATAGAGGATATTTCTGCGGACGCAGAACGATGATGACGAGCGGGCGAATGCTGGTGGTGGATGCGGCGTACGGCCTTCGAGATATTCGATGAATTGTCGAAGCTCGGAATCGTTCTTCTGCTGTTCGGCCAAGTCGGATACACTAACGGCGCAGAGAAAATGGCCGTCGAGATCGTGATCACCTGACACTGTCTTAAGAGGAGCTCGGGAAAGGCAGTCCGCCTCAGTATGCTTCCGGCCAGACTTGTACACGACTGTCAAATCGAACTCCTGAAGGCGTAAGCTCCACCTGGCCAGACGTCCGGAAGGGTCTTTAAGGTTCGCCAACCAGCAGAGCGCATGATGATCGGTAACAACTCTGAACGGGCGACCATACAGGTACGGTCTGAATTTAGCTATTGCCCAGACAACAGCTAGGCACTCCTTTTCAGTTGTTGTGTAATTCGCCTCCGCAGATGATAAAATCCGACTCGCATATGTAATAGGGCGTTCAACGCCGCCTTGCCACTGGACGAGGACTGCACCAAGGCCGATGTTACTGGCGTCTGTGTGTAGTTCAGTGTCGGCATATTCGTCGTAGTGTCCGAGTAAGGGCTCAGATTGGAGACGCTGCTGGAGCTCGGAGAAAGCGCGTGTTTGCTCAAGGCCCCACACGAAGGGAACGTCGTCTTTTGTCAGACGAGTGAGGGGTTCGGCAATGTTTGTGAAATTTTGCACAAAGCGTCTGTAGTATGCGCAGAGGCCTAAAAATCGACGCACATC